ACCTAGGGTTAACTTGAATAGATCGAGAGATTGACGAGTTACTCTGTAGGTAGGGAGTTAGTAGACCGAGAGGTGAATTCTCTATTATCGTTGCTTGATGATTCCCGAATACAAGTCATAATCGTTATTCATGCATGCTTAGTAAATACCCATACACGCGAATACGATCCCGACGCCCGTAGTCATCCTTGTTTGATAGGTCACTCGTTTTTATTTGCTTTCTTATATTGCTTACCATTGATTCTACATATTTCCACCATCACTTGCTTGCTTGCTTTGATCTATTTTTGATCTAGATTTGGATTTAGCAACCGGTCCTCGTGTTCGACCCCGTGTTACGACGATCCGTATCCTTGCAGTGAGTTGTGATACGGGTTATAAATTCTAGACTCGGTACACACGTATCAGACAAACATTTGTAAACCTCGGAAGGAGGGAGGGATAGGGCTCCGCAGCATTGCTGATTATAACATCACATTTCGGCTAAAGCTAATCTGGATACTCTTCTCCAAAGCAGGTTCATTGTGGGTTGCTTGGACATATAACAATCTGTTTAAAGCCAAGGGATTCTGGAATATGATACCTTCTCCTCGGTTCTCTTGGAATCTGCGTAAATTACTGGATTTGAAGGAGACAGCCCAACAATTCCTCAGGATTAGACTTGGCAACGGTGAACACACTCTTTTCTGGCATGACCCATGGACAACATTAGGACCGCTGATAAAATATATCGGGGAAACGGGGCCGAGGAATTTTTGTATTCCGACCTTAGCCACAGTCAGAAGTGCAGTAAATGGAGACAATTGGACATTACAAAATGCTAGATCGGATAGTCAACAAGCCTTCCTCACCCTTCTCTCCACCATCCCACCGCCGTCAGCCACTACAAATCATGATCAGCCCCTATGGAAAAATCGGGATGATGACTACAGGCCAACCTTCTGCACGAGCAGAACGTGGCATCAAATCCGCCAGCGCGGCGAGGAGGTTCCCTGGCACTCCATTGTTTGGTTCCCTAAAGGTATACCTAGATATGCTTTTTTGATGTGGCAGGTGATGTTGTCCAGATTACCGACCAAAGACCGACTTCATCGGTGGGGCGTGACTTCGGAGACAACGTGTATGTTATGCGACGAGCTAGAGGAGACACACCTGCATTTGTTCTTTGAATGCAGGTATAGCAGACAAGTATGGAGGCACTTTGCGGGTCTATGCAGTCAGGATCCTCCATCAAACATCTACCTATGCACGAATTGGGCGAGCAACGAAACGCTGATCGACGGAAGAGACACGAAACGGATCCGACAAATCCTCCTCCAAACTACGGTGTACGAACTTTGGAGAGAGCGGAACAATAGGATTTTCCGAACAAAACGCCGAACAATTGAACATGCGAGGTGGAAGATCGATCGAACCATTCGGAATGTACTACTAGCTATCAAACGGAACCCTCCACATGATAGAGTATCTTTGCTTGTAGATTGGTATTATTTGACGCGAGACGTTAGAAATTAGATCTTTTTTTTTAAGACATATTACCATTTTCACATGGGTTTCACTATCTTTTGTCAAAAACAGAAGTTGGATTGTAATTTTTTGGATATAATACAAATCACCTTGAAAACAAAAAAAAAACTATGGGCGACGCAAAGTGTGAGTTTCAACTAGATTTGTAGGTGATTTCTTGTGATAAAATGAAGAGAAGATGGTTGGAGATTATAGAGGGAGAGAGGTGTCGCGTGGGGGGACAAAGAGAGATGAAGAAACCTAAGAAAATGATAAGGGTAAGAGTGAAAGTGCATGGAATAATATAAACCGTAGATAAGGAGAGATATAATGAAAAACTTGTATTTTTTTTAAAATAATTGTGATATGATTGCGCAAGTTGAGAGGACAAGAGTGATGGAGTTATTAAAATAATGATTGAAGGAGTGAGAAAAAATAATGAACGTGTATGTGGAGAGAAAACAAAACAAAAGAGACCATGCTATTATGTAAAAGTGGTGTAGAAGAAATCAAATGAGGTTAGGTATTTTTTTTTCTATTAGATGAGTAGAGATGATTAGCACGTGAAATGTTTTGATATTGATATCGGCTTTTAGCACCAGATTACTTTCATGCCATCATTTTCGTTTTAGATTTTATTTAGAATTTATGCATATATTTTAATATTGTGTATCTTAGTACAACACATAAACATAATACATATATTCGTACCTATCAATATGCGTATGATTAAATATGCATATTTAATTATATGCTTATGCATTTGTCTCGTTATATGTAACTTTAATCTTCAACTTTTGTATTATTTATCAATGAATTAATGTTTTGTGTTACACATATATTTGCATATTTAGGATTGCTAATGTTATAGATTGCATATACTAATGTCTCATGTTATCTTTTATATCTTCTTAGTTATAATTTATTATATGCTAAATAATTCATGTAAACACGATCGTATTTTGAAATATATATATCTTAAATTCGTATATTACGTTACTATCATATAAAGTGTATAAAATAACTTACTATCTCGTTTTCTAGATTTTTGTTTATGAATATATATGGCTTATACATAAAACTGCCCCCTTGAACTTTACAGTTCAATCGAATCGTGTCTGCACATAGTTGAGCTTTAAGTTCGACTTGGTCTTATGTTTGGTCTAGATGGTGTATTACCTGAGTTCCGGTTTTCAGAATAATTAATATTTTGTGGAACTTCATTTTTATTCTATCTATAAGGTCTTATTTGAAGATCGGAATCCTCGGTTCTCTAGATCTCGATCATGATTTTTTTTAGTCCTATCCAGTAATTTTGGGAACGGGTTATCACATTCCACCCCCCATAAAATGAATTCGTCCTCGAATTCGAATTAAAATTAGATAACAGTGTTTACCGAAAAGATGAGGGTAGTGTTCACGCATTTCCTTCTCTGGTTCCTAGGTCATGTCGGAGACTCCTTGGCTCTGCCACAGACCTTTGACCAAGGGAATCTCCTTACTCCATAGTCGCTTAGTCTTATGGTCGACATTTGTAACGGCTCATCTCGAAAGCGAATGCTGTGGGTAAACTTAATCTCCTGCGGCCGTAAAACGTGAGAAGGATCTGCCACGTATTTTCGCAACATGGACACTTGGAATACGTCTTGTATATTACTGAGTTCTGCCGGCAATTCCACTCGGTACGCCACTACTCCCACTTTTCCAATGGCTGGATATGGCCCAATATAACAAGGCTTGAGCTGCCCCATTTTTCCGAACCTTGCATGATCTCCGATTACATGTGTAATACCCCGATTCCCGATTTAATTATTTAAATTACTTTCGGGAATAAAGGGAAGGTAAAACAATCCTACTCTTGTTTCCATCGGGTGACCATGAAATCTCAATGGCTAGTTACTTGGACTTGAAAAAGGATGTTTTCATGAAGATCTAGAAACAAACGGCACTCGATTTGGTTGAGAAATGAGAAAGTTATGAACAAACGAAAATTGAGAAGAACCTGAAAATTACAAAACGCGAATTTGTATGAGGTACAGGAGTTGCGAATCCGTTTGCGTCGTGTGCACATAGATTTTCAATAATCTATTTCTTGGACATGAAAGAGGACATTCAAAGGAGGGGTTAGAAACAAATGGTGTGCGATTTGGTTAAGGAACGAGTGAGAACGGAGCGATCGAAAACGTACTATGCAAGTCAGTCGGGACGGACCAGGAACGCAGACCCGACAGACTGAAAGGGCAGAACGGACAGACTGAAGAAGGCAGAACAAACGGACCACGAACGCGCAAGGAAATGGGCCGAGACTGGGCCCAGACCGTCCGTTCCAGACCCAGAACGGACGGACTGACATACAGGGATGCAAGTGGCCAACTTGCTGCCTTGGTCCGCGTTGTTCTCTGCATTCCGGGGGCCCACAGGTGTCAAATCGTCGTCCAACCTCACCAGGACGTTGCAGGCTCGACCATGGGCCTGGGCTTGAGCCCATTCCACCTCCCTCACGCGCAATAAACCTCCCTCAATCCCCAGACCCAGCCATTTTCGAACTGAAATCAGAGAAAATAGAGAGAGGAAAGAGAGACAAAGGGGGAGAAAGGAGGAGAGCCAACGCAAGGGAAGCTCGGAGAAGTAAGGGGGGACATCCCTAGAGTGTCTAGGAGACGTTTCTGCTGCTTACTCTGATTTGATTTAAAATATTTTTGGATTTCGTATTTTCGCTTCCGCGGTTTATTATTTTATTGTTACATCGTACATGTGGCACAGCTCGTGTACTGTACACAGGTTACGGGTGTCACAACTTTTGGTATCAGAGCCACGTTCTTTCCTCGGGAAGGAATCGTGCTCATTACCCAACGGTTTTCTACGAAAAATGTTTTCAAACCATGTTCGAAGAAAATCCTCACATGTCGAGGTCCGTACATTGATGATGCAGTTATCGGTCGTCAGTTGCTAAATTGTCTTAAATGTGGTGCAGTGAAATGGGGCCACGACGTGTTAGGCTTGCAGCGAGGGCTGACGACATTCCTGACCAGGCTCCACCACCTAACCTAGGAGACGAAGGATGGAGGGCCGAGTTTCGTCAGTTTCAGGAGACCGTGTGGCAGCACCTAGCTGCCCACGCCCCACCACCACCTCCGGTGAGAGACCCGGAGCCGAGGGAGGAGGACCTACACCAACCGCCGATATCTGCTGCGACGGCGGGATACCTTCCCATCGTCATGGAGCTGCGGGTGATGCATACCCCTCGATTCGAGGGATCACTGAGGCCGGAAGCTGCTGAGGAGTGACTCACCCAGATCACTCAGGACTTGGAGTATCTGCAGTGCCCGCATCAGTACCGAGCTATGATCGCGAGTCATCATCTGTCGGGTTAGGCCCGACATTGGTGGGCGAAGGTGGTGCAGGAGGCACCAGCAGGACATCGTTTCACATGGGAGGAGTTCCGGCATGAGTTCAAGGCAAAGTACTTTCGGCGGCAGGACAGTGAGTACCGCATGACCGAGTTCCTCATGTTGCAGCAGGGGGACATGACTGTCACTGAGTACGAGGCAGAGTTCACCCGTCTACTGATGTATGGAGGGCATCTGGTGCCCACCAAGGCATCGAAGATCTAGAAATTCATTGCTGGACTTCGACCTTACCTGCGGAGGAAGATCGAGATCCAAGAGTACCTCGACGCTGAGTCGGTATATTTCTAGCTTGAGAAGGTGGAGCATGGAGAGCGGGAGAAGAGGGAGGGGAAGACTCGTGAGCGGAGCCCCTTCAGGAAGTGCTTCGGTACATGTTCATCTGGGAAGAACGTCCGGAGCAGTGACCCACGCAACAAGGGCAAGGCGCCCGCTATTCATGCCCCACCACCATTGGTGACGAGGGGATCACTGGTCTGTTATCATTGTGACCAGCCCAGACACATTGCATCACGTTATCCGATGAGGGCTAAGGGACCACCGACTTTGGCGACGAGACCACCGCGACCACCGGGCCAGGCGGATAGACTGCCCCGACCACCAACGAGATCCAGGAGGAAGAGGAGGAAGAGGCTCATCCTGATAGAGCCGAGGCCACCACGATCTCAGGTACTCTATATCTCTATGGAGTTGCATGTTACACGTTGTTTGATACCGAGGCAACCCATAGTTTCCTGAGTGCGGGAGTGGCGGAGAGACTTGAGACAGGAGAGATCGAACTGAGGGACGATTTCACTGTGCGCATACCAATCGGAGAGACATTAGCCATGCATGGGATCCTGCGAAGCGTACCCCTCGAGATTTGTGGCTGCCTATTAGCCGCAGATCTCATTGTGGTACCCATCGGAGGGTTCGATATCATCTTGGGAATAGATTGGTTGATGAGATACCAAGCTTACATTGATTGTCCCAAGAGGACAATCTGGTTTATGGACGAATTCGGAGGGTTCGAGTTCCGAGGCCGTGGAGCGTCGGCAGCGGACCCGATCATCTCGGCGTTGAAAGCCGAGAAATGATCAGGAAGGGCAACGAAGCATTCCTGGTAGTCATTACAACTACACAGGAATCGGAGAGAAGGCTGGAGGATACACGCATTGCCCGAGGGTTTCCATATGTGTTTCCTGATTATCTGTCGGGGTTACCACCCAGTCGGGAGGTTGACTTTAGCATAGATGTGTTACCAGGTACCGAGCCAATTTCCAAGACTCCGTATCAGATGGCACCTACGGAGATGGCCGAGCTGAAGAAACAGCTGAACGAGTTGGTGGAGCAGGGTTTCATTCGCCCTAGCGTTTCACCGTGGGGAGCACCTGTACTCTTCGTGAAGAAGAAAGACATGAGTATGCGTTTGTGCATCGATTACCGAGGGCTCAACCAGGTGACCATCAAGAATCGGTACCCGCTACTGAGGATTGATGAGTTGCTGGACCAACTACAGGGAGCCCAGTAGTTTTCGAAGATCGATCTACGATCCGGATATCATCAGATTCGGGGCAAGGAGGATGACGTACAGAAGACGGCATTCTGGACGAGATATGGACACTTCGAGTCTGTGGTCATGCCTTTCAGACTCACAACGCGGCTGAGGTGTTCATGCAACTGATGAACCGCGTGTTCATGGACTACCTGGATGAGTTTGTCATCATTTTCATTGATGACCTCCTCATCTATTCGCCGGATCCGCAAACACATGAGGAGCATCTATGTAAGATATTGTGGAGACTGAGAGAGAACCGGCTGTACGCGAAGTTCAGTACGTGTAGCTTCTGGTTGCAGGAGATTGGATTTCTAGGACACGTGGTATCGGCCCGGGGCATTCAAATCGATCCGGCCAAGATCGAAGCCGTCATGGAGTGGAGTCCCCGACTTCTGCGATAGAAGTCAGGAGCTTTCTTTGGACTAGCCAGCTATTACCGACGATTCGTCGAGCGATTCGCCAAGATAGCTCAACCTTTGACGAAGCTGACAGGGAAGAATGTCAGGTTCGAGTGGACGGTAGAATGTGAGGAGAGTTTCGGAGAGTTGAAGCGGAGATTGACATCAGCGCCGATCCTGGTATTACCACGACCGGGAATGCTATACGTATACACTGACGTGTCCAAGCACGGACTCGATTGCGTGTTGATGCAGGAGGGGTACATGATCGCTTACGCGTCGAGGCAGCTGAAGAAACACGAGGAGAACTATCCGACACATGATATGGAGTTAGCGGCGGTAGTTCACGCGCTGAAGATCTGGAGATCATATCTGTATGGGAGAAGGTTAAGATCAACACGGATCACAAGAGCCTGACTTATGTGATATCTCAGAAGGATCTGAATCTGAGACAGCGGAGATGGTTGGAGTTGATTGCAGATTACGATCTGGAGATAGCCTACCATCCGGAGATAGCCTACCATCCGGGGAAGGCCAATATAGTGGCTGATGCTCTTAGCATGAAGAAGATCTTAGCGGTCATACGTGTTGTCACCTCATCTCACAGCAATGCCGCTGAGTTGACTGCGATGTTGGGACATCTCTCGTTGACGGCCGAGGAGTCGACACCGACTTTGATAGAGGGCGTGGTCAGGGGACAGCGCGGTGATCCTTTACTCGCTCGATACATGGATCACATCGAGAAATATAGCCTCAAGGGCAACCGCATCAACGAGCAGGGAGCGTTGCGACTAGAGAACCGACTGTGTGTGCCCGATGATCCGGAGCTGAGACAGGAGATTTTGTCAGAGGCACATCAGTCGAGGTTGGCGATACATCCGGGGGCGAGCAAGATGTATCAGGGGCTACGACTGTGGTATACTTGGCCGCGGGTCAAGAGGGATGTGGCGGACTACGTAGCGAGATGCTGATGGAATTCCTGGGATCTCTACAGTGAATCTTTTTCCTAAGAGATCGGTTCTAGGGTTTGCGCAGCGGATGTAAAACAAAAAATTTATAAAACCCTAAAACCTATCATGCATGATCTTGTAGAAACGTTAGAACGCTTACCTCAATCGATCCGGGACCTGTATCAATTGATGTGTTCGTCCGATCACTGTAGGTAGGAAGAATACCTCGCCCTTTACACGTATCCACACGGCGAAAAGGATTCCAACGGTTGGAACTCGTCTGCTAGGAATGAAGAACGCTTTCTTCTATGCGCAGGGGTTTCAGGGATTAATCTCTTAGGTTTTCAACTCTCAAAACCTCTCTATAGAATCTGAAAGTCGTGCCAAAGAGCTTAGGAGGCGTTCTCCAAAGTTCCTTAACCTTAAAACCCTAATTTGGGCGAGTTAATGAAATCCCGACGTCTGGACCGATCGGTCCTGGCCTGGACAGATCGGTCTGGAACATTTTTCGGACCGAGCAACATTTGCACGTTACCTCTGGACCGATCGGTCTGGCCTCCGCTCCACCGAGAAACTCTCGTCTTTTCTCGCCCGTTTGTCCTTTCCTGTGTGTGTGACCCTATAGGCTCATCCGATATAGCAGTATAACCCGAAATCTCTATTTCGGTTATACAAGTCATAGAGGTCTCTAGCAAGACATTATGACTACCTATCTCGAATAGAGTTTGTTCGTGATCTTACGAACGCCAGTGATGATTCCGGTTGATGATCCTTTTGTATCACGATATCATATGTCGAACATAAGACATGGACAAGCCACCTTATCTGATTCGACTGCTTTCTCGTTCACTGAGTTTGACTGTGTGAAATAGACGACGTTCGTGTATAGTGCGGCCACACATTTCTACAGTCTCACTCACACGAGGGGCCCAACGATATCTCTCCCTTTTACGAGAGGTACAAATCCCGTCTTGACTATCTACAATCCAGCACACGATTCGTTTCGTACCTGATACACGCCTTTATAGTCCTCCTGTTACGCAGGACGTTTGACGTATTCAAAGTACGCAACTCCTCATGTTAGATTCCGTAGATATCTCAGGTCTTAGGATCCAATCATGGAACCGTCATATGAGATTCAAGTCATTACGCAAGTCCATGTGACAATCTCATGCGAGTCAATCCAATATTCCGTTCTCCAACGAATACCTATGATTGTCATCGTATCCAATACCTATGATCATCTCTATGATCGTCAATCACACATCATACTAGTCTTATTATATCATTATTCCTACAATGACATACGACTAGGGAGTTTAGTATTATTCATAACAATACATGGATATCATAACATATCAAGTATGCAAAACATGTAATGAATAAAACACTCATCCATAAAACCATAGAAAACGTCAATACATCAAATGTATCTAAATAAAGCTCGCAAAACAGTACATCATAGAGCACTAAACCAACAATCTTTCACTTGCTCTAACCATGGACTGCTAAACATCTAATGCACATATCCCTAACATGACCCTCATGCTTCGACGAATGGAGAGGCTTCGTCAACGGATCGACAATGTTGTCATCTGTCGACACTCTGCAAATGTGCACGTCTCCTCTATCTATGATCTCCCTGATAAGGTGAAATCGTCTGAGTATGTGTTTGGATCATTGATGGGATCTGGGTTCTTTCGCTTGTGCGATCGCTCCATTGTTGTCACAAGTCAACGGATCGGCAATGTTGTCATCTGTCGACACTCTGCAAATGTGCACGTCTCCTCTATCTATGATCTCCCTGATAAGGTGAAATCGTCTGAGTATGTGTTTGGATCATTGATGGGATCTGGGTTCTTTCGCTTGTGCGATCGCTCCATTGTTGTCACAATACAGAGCAATGGGGCTATCTACACTCGGAATGACACCCAAGTCGCCAACAAACTTCCTGATTCAAACAGCTTCCTTTGCTGCGTCCGACGCTGCAATATACTCAGCTTCTGTAGTAGAATCTGCAACGGTCGCTAGCTTAGAACTCTTCCAGCTAACAGCGCCTCCGTTCAAGCAGAAAACATAGCCAGACTGCGATCTGTAGTCATCCGGGTCTGACTGGAAACTAGCATCGGTGTAACCCTTTACAGCGAACTCGTCTTCCAACCCACCGTATACCAAGAACACATCCTTAGTCCTTCTCAAGTACTTCTGGATGTTTTTGACGGCTATCCAGGGTTCACCTGGATCTGACTGGTATCTACTCGTAATGCTCAACGCGTAGGATACATCCGGTCGAGTACAAAGCATGGCATACATGATGGATCCAATTGCCGAAGCATATGGAATCCGATCCATGCGTTCTCGCTCATCAGGTGTCGTAGGACACTGACTCTTGCAGAGAACTGTGCCACTGCTCATCGGTAAGGTTCCTTTCTTGGAATCTTACATCTTGAACCGTTTCAAGGCCTTATCGATATATGTACTCTGACACAATCCTAGAAGTCCCCTCGATCTATCTCTATAGATCTTTATTCCTAGAATATAGGCCGCTTCTCCTAGGTCCTTCATAGAAAACTGCGTTCCTAGCCAAGACTTAACGTTTTGCAAGGTAGGAACGTCATTCCCTATAAGGAGAATGTCATCATAGTCAATACCATGAACTTCAGCATAACTACGGGCGAAAAGGTCTCATCATAGTCAATACCATGAATTTGACGGAATCCTTTCGCCACAAGTTGTACCTTATACGTGTGCACATTGCCATCCATGTCGGTCTTCTTCTTGAAGATCCACTTGCATCCGATGGGTTTTATCCCTTTAGATGCATCAACCAGAGTCCATACTTGGTTGTCTGATATGGATTGCATCTCGGACTTCATAGCC